TTTTTTTTACGATTGTCTACTGTTGTACTGATAAATATCTCCTGGAGGTTAAACTATATCTTGACTGCAAGTATCAAACTGTGAAATCCTTCATTTTCTACAACTGATAGTGGTCGGTCATTAATTATTATGAAGTTTAACAACTTCTCTGTAAACATTAGAGCTCCGTGGTTTCAGCGACGTCTTCTTCTTGTTCAGTCCGAAGCAGGCAGCCTGATTTGGGTCAGCCCCGCTCAGTCTGTCCCTCCTCAGAGACGGGCAGACTGAGCGGGGCAGATTGGACACGGCTGGCCGAAATCAAACTGCCTGCTGCGGATTGAGCAAGAGTGGCGCCCGCTGAAGCCACGGAGCTCGAATGTCCATCGTAAAACTAACTTTACCGTGGTTTAATGTGGCGCTATGGCTCTGCAGACAGTGCACGTTGCTGTCTTGTTTTGTGATGTTTAGTGTAAAATACTTCCACACAGCGACATGTTTAGATGAAAAGTTTGTTAGCTGTTAGCCACAGTGCTGCTAACTCAGTCTTCACGTTGTAGCTGCTGCAAACTATGAACTGGATTTCCTGAATGTGAGGCGGGTCTTAATACTCTGGGCTCATGAGACACGCTGCCGTTCAGGAAATCCATTCCATAGTTTGAAGCCAACGTGCATCATGGATCGGAAGTATCGGCAGGTGGATCGGAAAAATCCGATACGTAAATTATGCTGGTATCGGAGGCCGATACCGATACTGGATCGGATCGGCCCCATCCCTAATTCTCACCTTTCTCTGCTTTCTTTAATTTCTTTCAGAGGAAGAAGTTGTTTCCATTCTTTGACTCAGCTTACCAGGGTTTTGCATCCGGGAACTTGGATAAAGATGCCTGGGCCATCCGCTTCTTTGTCTCAGAGGGCTTTGAGCTCTTCATTGCTCAGTCCTTCTCCAAAAACTTTGGCCTGTACAGTAAGTACACAAGATGCTCTTACTTGGCCTCACATTCATGTATTTACATGTGATCTGATGCGTAATGTGGCTCCAAGGTTTCCTAAAGTCACATCTTTACCACATGCACACATTCGATTCATGCTCGCTCAGTATTTTAGATAAACCCTTCATTGCTCTGTTGTCGTTGTCAGATGAGAGAGTGGGGAACCTCACGGTAGTTGCCAAAGACAACGAGAACCTGACTCGCACCTTGTCCCAGATGGAGAAGATTGTGCGAACAACCTGGTCCAATCCACCATCTCAGGGAGCACGCATCGTCAGCAAGACACTTAACTGCCCTCAGCTGTTTGCAGAATGGTATGCTTCATGATTTTCTGTATGGATGCACACTACATCCTCATAAATCTATCCTCAATGTAATATCCAATGTAATATCCAAGAGCACAATATCAGCATCACAATGGCTTGCAACAAACCAACAAACAGTTTTTCCTCATAGGCCTCGTTTGGTCATCCCAACAGTCCTTAATACTCACACATGGTTTAGATGATGGAGATGACGGGAGAGAAAGGGAGGAAAATTGGGTTTATTGCAATTGTTATTGTCATTGCAAAACTAAATAATATTACAAAGAAGTTTTTTTTAATTACCATGCAGCTCTTGTTTTGTGCTTCAATATTATTGCTCATTGAAAGAACTGTAATGTGATTTATCAGCTCCATTTTACTTGATATGGTTTTTTTGTTATTGTTTGTTTCTTTTTGTTGTTGTTGATATGAGGCACTTAAGGCTATCATGTCATTTGAGTTACCATGATTAATCCTAGGGATGGCAGATAAAATCAGTTTTTAGAAGCATCACAAACATGGAAGTTTTTTGAATCAATCTTCAAAATACCAAAAATTGTTTTTGTTAGTCTGATTTGACACTTGACCTTTGATCTCCCCAAAAAATAAAAAGTGGATAAAGGAGAGACCCCTCGTATGACCCCTTACGATGAATCAAATAAATGGAAACAGAGTTTTTTGGCCCAGACACGGGTCACTTGGCCCCCATTCTGGAGCCGGGCCTGGAGGTGGGGCACGCTGGCAGCACCTGGTGGCGTTGCTTTTACCCATGGAGCCTGGCCGGGTACAGCCCAAAGAGGAGACGTGGGTCCCCCTTCCCATTGGCTCACCACCTGTGGGAGGGGCTAAAGGGGTCAGGTTCAATGTGGGATGGGTGGCGGCCAAGAACGGGGACCCTGGCGGTCTGATCCTGGGCTACAGAAGCCGGCTGTCAGGACAATGAACGTCACCTCTCTGGTGGGGAAGGAATGTTTCTCGGCTGGCCTGGGAATGCCTCAGGGTTCCCCAGAAGAGCTGGACCAAGTGCCGGAGGAGAGGGAAGTCTGGGCCTCCCTACTTAGGCTGCTACCCCTGCAACCCGACCCCGGATAAATGGAAGAAAATGGATGGATGGAAAAAGGAAATGAATGGATGAACTGCCACTTCTCCAGTCAGCAGAATATTTGCTGCTCGGTGCAGTTTGTCCTAGTACAGATATTGTAACTACTTGTAGTAGTTGTTGTAAAACTGGGTTTTCAGTTTATTTTTCTAGTCTGAAACTGAAGAAAACACGTGTGTGTAAAAGATGAAGTTATCATAGCATGAAAGTCTTTTATAATAACTCTTTTAACACAAATCAAATGATTCAATTTCCAGTGATCAAATTTGATGCTAGCTTAGCTTTTCTGTGGCTTTTTAATGTTAAATTAGCCTCTATGCTAATTGCTGGTCAGCAGCTTGTGATTATTAGGGTTTCTGACCTGTGTTCTTGAGAACACTTTATTAGGCATCAAAAGTAGAAAAAAACATGATGTGCAATATTATAATTATGTTAACAATAAAAATGATGATAAACCCATAACGTCTATAGATGTGGGCATTATAGCAAGAGTATATGTTTGATTGAAAAAAAACATTATTAGCAGCAGAATATGAGTGCTTGATCCCTAAAATAATAAAAGTCTATGATTTATTGCAGTCCAAATGCATCAGTAACTTTATAATTGCATCTCAGCGCTTGAATTCTGAACAATACAACTGTGAGGTCTGTAAAGATTCCCACACTGTAAACATTTACAAGTAGGTCTGCTGTTATTACGCCGTATTATTTTACATTCTTAGTGTTTAGCGTAGATCTTCAATCGGTCAGTTTTATTTATAAAGCACCCTTCATATTAAAAGCAGCTCAAAGTGCTGTACAGAATTATAAACAATAACCCCACAAGATAAAAGCAAACAATACACAAAAACAACAACAACACTGTTGTAAGGAAAATGTACAGACTGAGCAGAGATGATCCAATTCAGGAAATGCAGCTAAAAAGATGGGTCTTGAGCCTGCTCTTAAAAACAACAACATTCTCTGCGGCCCTCAGGTTTTCCAGCAAACTATTCCACAGACGGGGGCCATAGTACTGGAAAGAAGCCTCACCGTAAGTGTGAGTTCTGACTGTTGGAACGTAATTAGTAGTCCGGTGCCAGAGGACCGTGGGGTCTGCAGGGTTCATAAGGTAATATCAGCTCTGCAAGATAAGATTGTGCGAGACCATTGAGACATTTAAAAACCACTAAAAGAATCTTAAAATCAATCCTGGGGTGCACAGGGAGCCAATGCAATGATTTTAAAACGGGTGTAATATGAGCCTGCCTTCTAGTCTCGGTTCTTAGATTTTTTTTTTGGCGCACCGTTTGGCGTTCGTTTAGCGTGTATCTTAGCGTGTATCTTAGCGTGTATCTTAGCGTGTATCTTAGCGTGTATCTTAGTGTATATAGGCCCATCTCCAAGCTGCCTTTTATTTAAAAAATTTTAGAAAAAATTGTATATTCACAAGTCAAATGTTTTCTGGTTGAGCACAATATCCTGGAGGTTTTTCAGTCTGGCTTCAAAACTCGCCACAGCACAGAATCGGCTCTAGTCAGAGTCTTCAATGATATTTTTATGGCTAATGATTCTGGTGAACATGTGGTTCTTATCCTGCTTGACCTAACAGCTGCCTTTGATACCGTGGACTCCGGTGTTCTCCGGTAAGATGGCGCCCGTGTACATGGCTTGCAATCCACCTCTGCTGATGGTGTTCGGATTATTTTTGTTTTTTGTATTCCTCATCAATGACATCAACTCTCTGCTGGTGTATGACAGACAACAACTTTTGGATCTTTGTTTTTTTGGCACTGATGTCGCTTATCTGGACCATTATCAGCGTACCTCTGGACTCCCCCCTCCTCCCCCCCTGCTGGCGGACGTGCCAGCTTACCTTCGCTGTGCTCCTCACCTGCCTGCCCGGAGATCTCGCTTCAGACGCTGGGGAAAACGTGCTGGTCAGCTGGTGAAGCTGAAAGCTCTGCGCGCTGCATCTTCCTCTCCAGCTGGTGGTCATGGTCTCCAGCTTCTCGCGTGCCCGGACCAGGTAACCAGCGGGAGTTGTCAGCCGGTGCGCAACCCGGACAGACCTGGAGGGGATGTTATTGAAAACCTGCGGCCATTAGCGCGCGCTAACTCCACCGCTGCTGGCTCTACTTTGGACAGTATCCGGATGTGTTTGGTCAACGCAAGATCTGTTACCAACAAAACTTTTATCCTCAGGGACTACTTTCAAGAGCACGATCTGGACTTTTTCTGCATCACAGAGACTTGGATGTCTCCGGGTGAGTCCAGCGCCTTGACGGAATTACTGGCACCGAACAGTCTGTGTTTTAACGCCCCGCGGCCATCAGGCCGGCGTGGTGGTGGATTATTAACAATATTCAAATCAACTTTTGACTGTAAACAACTGCCCATCCCAGTTTCCCGCGCCAGCTTTGAGCTGAGCGTCTTTGAACTCGGACATTCGCCTCCGACGTTATTTGCACTACCGCCCACCTCGGTCTAAGGATTTCATAAGTGAGTTTTCTGACTTCTTGGCTGAAATCACACCAAAATATGAGCATGTTTTCATTATTGGTGACTTTAATTTGCACATGTGCTTGTCCTGAGAAGCCCTTGGTTAAGGACTTTTTAGATTTATTGGACTCATTTAATTTAACTCGGCATGTAAACGGTCCCACACAAGAGCACGGACATACACTGGACCTTGTTTTAACTCATGATGTGACTGTTAATAATCTTGTTATTGGTGATAATGTTTTTTCAGACCACATGCCAGTCCGGTTTGAGTTCACCCTCCCCCATCTAACTCCTAAGTCGTGCATTCTTGCACGTAGTACCCGGACCATTAACCACTTCACTGCTGCACGTTTCACAGATGTTTGTAACTCTGAAATGATCATTCAGGCCCCAGTGTTTCTCACTACCACTGAGCAGCTGACATCCCAGTTCAACTCTGTCTATTTAAAGACTCTGGATCATGTTGCGCCTGTTAAAACTAGAAAATCAAAACTCAGAGCAGAACCTTGGCTGAGTGATGTTACCAAGGCCGTTGGGCAGCAATGTAGGAGGGTGGAGCGAAAGTGGAGGAAAGACAGGCTGCAGGTCTCTTTTCAAATACTTAAAGAGAGTTGGCGCCGTTATCAGAAAACAGTGAAAGCTGCAAAATCAAAATACTTCTCTGATATAATTACCTCAAACTCTCACAACCCACGTGTCCTCTTCTCCACCCTAAACTCTGTTCTCTACCTCACTGAATCATCACCTCTGGAAGCCTCGACTGAGCTGTGCGACAACTTCTTACATTTCTTTTTGGAAAAAATTGCGACCACCAGGGCTCTCATTTCCCCTCCAACTCATGACCCATCCGTCCCACCTCAGTCTGTAGCTCCTTTTGACCATTTTGAACCCATCACTCTATCTTCTCTAGAGCAGGTCATGTGCAGCTTGAAACCTTCTGGTTCTCCCTTTGATGTGGTCCCCCCTCAACTACTAAAGGAGGTTTTTCCTTCTCTAGGTCCGTCAATTCTTGCCATAGTAAACAGTAGCTCATCCACTGGCGTGGTGCCAAAAACCTTTAAACATGCTGCTGTCCAGCCTCTCCTGAAAAAAACAAACCTTGACCCCTCAGTCGTTTCCAACTTCCGGCCTGTCTCCAAACTCCCATTTGTTTCTAAAGTACTCGAGAAAATAGTTGAGTCCCATTTGAAGTGCTTCCTGGAGGATCACACCATCTTAGAGCTTTTCCAATCTGGCTTTACACCTATCCACAGCACTGAAACTGCCCTGCTGAAGGTCTTTAACGACATCTTCAGATTCACATATACCGGTGATTCTGTGCTGCTTGTCCTGTTGGACCTCACAGCCGCCTTTGACACCATCGACCATGAGATCCTCATTGCTAGGTTGGAGCAGTGGGTGGGCATCACAGGATTAGCCCTCAATTGGTTCAGATCTTACCTCACTGACAGATCCTTTTGTGTCTCCATCAAGGATTTTAGTTCCGCAGAAGCAGAGCTTAAATGGGGGGTTCCGCAGGGGTCCATACTGGGTCCCCTCCTATTCTCTTTATACCTGCTGCCGCTTGGTGCTATTTTCCGGAAACACAACATGCCCTTCCACTTCTATGCCGATGACTGTCAAATTTACTTCCCCCTAAGACACAATGGTACATGCTCTATTCAACCGCTGCTCAACTGCCTGGCTGACATCAAGGACTGGATGGCTTTAAATTTCTTAAGTTTCAATGAAAAGAAGTCTGAAGTCATGTTCCCTCCCAACGACACAATCACAAACCACTGCATCGACCTTTCCGCTCTAACCCTGTCAGAAAAACAAAGAGTCACTAATCTGGGCGTGATAACGGACCCTTCCCTGAAACTTAACAATCATGTAAACATGATTGTTAAATCATGCTTCTTCCAACTGAGGCGGCTGTCTAAACTGAAGCCCATATTGTCCAAAAATAACCTGGAGACAGTAATACATGCATTCATTACATCTAGGCTTGATTACTGCAATTCGCTCCTGTTTGGTATCAGTCAGACCTCCATTGCACGGCTACAACTGGTCCAGAATGCAGCAGCCCGATTTTTAACCAGTACAGGCAAAAGAGAGCACATTACACCAGTTTTGGCCTCACTGCACTGGTTACCGGTTCACTTTCGAATCCAGTTAAAAATACTCATGTATGTCTACAAATCACTGAACAGTGTCCCACCCCCCCCCCCTGCGCTCTGTTTTGCTACAACCGTATGTCCCACCACGCTCCCTGAGGTCAGCGGACCAGTTGCTCCTCACAGTTCCAGGAACTCGTCTTAAGGGCAGAGGTGACAGGGCCTTCTCTGTTGCAGGACCAAGACTCTGGAACGAGTTACCTCTGCTTGTCAGACAGGCCCCCTCCCTCTCGGTTTTCAAGTCCTGTTTAAAAACTCACTACTATTCAGTAGCTTTCAACCCAAGATGATCTGTGTTTTGATCCTGTATGCTCCACACTGGTTTGTCGTCATTATCTGCATCGTTTTTATGTCTATATTCTGATTTACTTCATTTTGTATTTTGCTTTGTGTGTTACCTGTTGTTTTGTCTGTACAGCACTTTGGTTGGCCTTGTTGCTGTTTTAAGTGCTTTATAAATGAAGTAGTAAGTGGTATGGTGGACCATAACATTTTAATAACACGCTTACAGCAACAAGTGGATCTCTGTGGTACTGCACTGATCTGGTTTAGGTCCTATCTGGCAGACAGAACCATGTCTGTCAACATAGCTGGGGCTGAATCCTCCACTGCTCCTCTGTGTTTTGGGGTTCCACAGGGCTCTATTTTAGGTCCCCTGCTTTTCTCCCTTTACCTGCTTCCATTGGGATCAATCCTTAGAAAGCATGGGATCTTTTTTCACTGTTATGCTGATGATAGTCAGATCTATACGTCACTAAAAAAGAAAGATGCCCCCTCAATTAGGCCACTTCTGTTGTCTTGAAGACATCAAATCCTGGATGTCTTTAAACTTCTTAAATTTCAATGAAAAGAAAACAGAAGTGATGGTGTTTGGTCCTAGTGGCTCTTGTGAACCTTGCCCTGTTGATCTGGGCCCTCTGGCACCACATGTAAAGAAAACTGTTTCTAACTTGGGTTTTAAAATGGACAGTGATTTTAAATTAGATTCCCAGATTGGAGCGGTGGTCAAGACCAGTTTTTATCACTTCAGCTGGCTAAGGTAAAATCCATCCTTACAAAACAACAGCTGGAAACAGTAATCCATGCCTTCGTCACCTCTCTGCTGGATTACTGCAACACTCTTTATTTTGGAGTCAGCCAGTCCTCCCTCAGACGCCTCCAGTTGGTCCAGAACGCTGCTGCTCGGCTTCTAACTGGAGTTCAAAAAAGGGAGCACATCACTCCCACTCTGGCTTCACTCCACTGGCTGCCTGTTCATTTTAGAGTTCTTTTAAGATTCTTTTATTTATTTTTAAAAGTTTAAATGGTCTTGCTCCATCCTACCTCTCTGAGCTGCTTCACCCATACTCTCCTGCTCGGTGCCTCAGATCAGCTGATCAGAGTCAGAGATTCTTTATTGTCATTCACACCTCATGTGGTACATGTGGTGGAGCGAAATTATGTCCACAGGGTCCCAGTTACATCCAACAATAAAATGTATAAGAAAAACAGTAATAACATCTAAGATATGAACTAAGAAAAACATCAACTAAATATACACTAAGCACTTATAACATAAAACATTGAACATCAGCAAAAACATGAACATGAGTCTGTGAGCAGATGTGCACGCATGAACACATCAACATTGAAACAGATCAGCAGCAACATGAAACAGATCAGCAGCAACATTGAAACAGATCAGCAGCAACATGAAACAGATCAGCAGCAACATGAAACAGATCAGCAGCAACATCCTGTGATTTTTCACAGTGATTATTCTAGTTAGAGATTCATGAGTCTAACAGCCTCAGGGTAGAAGCTGTTCCTCAGTCTAGTGGTTCTACACTTAATGCTCCTTAACCTCCTTCCTGAGGGGAGCGGGGCAAAAAGTGTGTGTGCTGGGTGAGTGTGGTCCTTCATGATGCAGGTGGCCCTCTTCCTGCATCTGGCGTGTAGATGTCTGTGATGGTGGGGAGACTGACTCCAACATCTTCTGTGCAGCCTTCACCACTCTCTGCAAAGCTTTTCTTTCTGCAGCTGTGCAGCCTCCATGCCACACGTTGATGCTGGAGCACAGGATGCTCTCCACTGCACACCTGTAGAAGGAGGTGAGGACTGAGCTTCCAGACCAGCTCGTCTCAGCCGCCTGAGGAAGTAGAGTCTCTGATGAGCTTTCTTCATCAGGCTGGTGGTGTTGTTGCTCCAGCTGAGGTTGTTGTTCAGGTGTACACCCAAGTACTTGTAGCTGGAGACCACTTCCACTGCAGATCCTCTTATGTTCAGGGGGTGTAGGTGTTTTTGTTCCTTCTGAAGTCCACAATCATCTCCTTTGTCTTCTTCACATTGATGTGAAGGTTATTCTCTTTGCACCAGCTGCTCCTGGAGGTGCCGAGGTCTAAGCGGAGGCTCAGAGGGGACAGAGCTTTTTCTGTTGCTGCTCCAAGACTGTGGAACGATCTCTCTCTTCCCATCAGACGAGCCCCTTCACTGTCCAGTTTTAAAACTCTTTTAAAAACACATTTTTACTCCCTGGCTTTTAGCGCAGACTGAATTTATTCTGCACTGTTTTTATTATTTTTTTATTGATCTTAATGTTTTAACAACTGTTTTATGTGTTTAAATGTTCTTGATTTTACATGTACAGCACTTTGTGGCAGCTGTGGTTGTTTTAAAGGGCTTTTAAAATAAAGTATTATTATTATTGTTATTATATTTTAGCGTATATCTTAGCATATATCTTAGCGCATATCTTAGCGCATATCTTAGCGTATATCTTAGCGTATATCTTAGCGCATATCTTAGCGCATATCTTAGCGCATATCTTAGCGTATATCTTGGCGTATATCTTAGCGTATATCTTAGCGCATATCTTAGCGCATATCTT